CTTAAGGGGACACTTCAGGTTCAAAATGATTTTTTTTAAATATCAACCAATTTTAATGAAAATTTCATAGATTGTGAATAAAGCATTTAGAAAGATATTCCCAAAATTTGAAGCAAAAATATTAATTTGTTGAAAAGTTATAATTTTTTTAATAATTTATCCGCAAGTTAAATTACTAAATGTTCCAATATTTCAAAATGTTTCCTGCGCATGAGTTTTTATCGTAGCTGTATGAAACTCATTTATATTACAGTTTGAATAAGTATAAATAAAATTGGATATGTTTGAACAACTTAGCACTTAATTTTAAACAAATAAAAAATCAAAATATCATAGTCTTTATATAATTTTTAAAAATTGAAATTTAAATAACAATTTAAAGTAATTTAAAAAATATTCAGTGAGTATTCAGCTTTTATTTATATCACATTGGTTACGGAACATTAGACCAATCATATATATGAGAAAAAAATAAAGATTTATTCAAAACTCATGCGCAAGGAACTTTTCGAAGTTTGAATATTATCGTAAAAAACAACATTGAGAAAAAACAGTTTAACTATAAAAACAGACAGTTTACATAACCTTGTTTACAAATCTTGAAATGCTTATAACTTTGCAAAAAATGACTGAAATTGAAAAATTTTTCTTTTAAATTGTAGCTAGATACAACTATTATTTTTTGAAACAAAAATTGAAAAAAGTATAATTTGGTCGATTTTTGGGGTTTTCATCGTGAAGTGTCCCCTTAAATCAACGAACCCTGCCTATTATATTAATTCTTATTTTAATTCATGAACTTTAAGAACCGAAGGAAAGTTCAAAGACGTAGAACGTTCAACAAAGAGTACGCATCGCAAAGCATTATACATTTATAAGAAACTTCTACAAGTGAAGAAAATTACATATTCTACCAGCAAGGAAAGTGTCAGTCTTTGACTACTTTCTTTCGAATAAATCGCCATGAACATGATTTTCGAAGCTCTGTTGCCAAGGCAAATAAAAAAGCCTCAGTTTAAAGTGCCTTACACTTAAGGAAAAGCTACAATTTTAAACTATATATTTATCATCTTTGACACACAAAAATGAATTCGCAATTTATTTGACCGATTTCTTTTATTCAAAGGTAGCAAAATTGTTCTTATTGCTCTTAGTTTTAATTATGTTGCAATATTTTCTTTTTCTATATTTCAGTGTATTTTAAAACAAAAAAAGCACATCAAAAGTTCATGATATTTATTTATTCTATTTCAATATTTTATAAATAAATACATTTCAATCTTACATTTTTTTTTGGTTTTTAAATAAATATTTCGATTTATGGCTTTCAAATTAAATTATAAGCAGTACTGTAACTTACCCAGAAAAGATAAAAATTGGTGATCAAATCAATTTTTCAGATTTCTTTTTTTATAAAACAATCGTGACTACTAAGGCTTAATGTAATATTTGGACATATATGACGATGCTTTAGATAGTTATGTGTGAAATCTCTTTTTTTTAAATTCTAAAGCTTTTCTCATCTCAAGATTGGTAACATTCTTGTTATGTAAGTTCATCATCATAAAGCAAGAAATAGTTTCCTAGGTAAGTTACAGCCATTTCACACAAAAACAACTTTCACAATTTTCTCCTGATGATTGTTAGTAACGTGACATCACACATCGTTTTGATCCTGGATACCTCGATTGTGGCTCCATTTCATAATAGTTCTGAAAGTATATTAGCGTTAGGACATATTGTGATACATGATTGTTCAGCATTTGATGTAACGTTAGTATTCAATGGGAGGGGAGCAGATATTACTTACGAAAGAACGTCTTATGAGACCCAAACTCAAGTCAAAATTTTTGATGATTTTTCATTGATGGACCAACCTAATCTTTATGGTAAACATCAATAATTCCAACATGAACCATTATATTTTTAATGGTAACCGACATAAGTAACCATCACCAATGCAGGAATTCGGACTGATTTATGATGGTCCAACATAAGAATAGCAACTTATTTTGATGGTTTGTTCATGCTGAACTGTCAGAAATTTCCATCATAGTTTCTTAGAAATCAAATGCTGGAACGATCATGAACCCCCATCATAACAATGTAGGAATTCGGACTGATTTCTGATGGGCCAACATAAAAAAACACACATTGTTTTGATGGTATATTCCTGAGAAACCAACAATAATTCCCGTTAAACCATCATAGAAATGTATAGTTGGAACCATCATGGATTGTTGGTCCATGAGAATCAAACTTCTCTCAATGGTTAACCATCATTGCATTAAAGTATAATTTTCCATCATGGAATGATGGAAGTTTGTTGGCATATCAAAAACCAAGAGAGCATAATGGAAAATGTTGGATGATGGTGATCATTAAATGATGTTGGGCAATCATGAATCACACTGTAACCAACATAAGCCATCAAAATGTTTTGATGGGACCATCAAGAATTTTGACTTGGGTAGGAAAATGGATCCCTAAAAGTTTTTCTTTAATTTATCCATTAGTTTTTCTTTCCTTTCAAATTTAACAAAACACACGTATTATAATCATTATTATTTTAAAGATTTTGTTTTATAGATTAATCAATGACTTCAAGTCTTCGGAAACGACGAGTTTCTGAAATTCGCTTAAAAAGCATCTAAAATTTTATTATCTAAAGAAATATTTTTTTAACTCTACGTGAGATTGATTTTTGTCTTCAGAAACCTCGTTTAGGTCTAGAATTCTAGACGATTGAAATAGAAAATAAAATTTTCAACTTTCAACAACACCTTAAGAGAGCACATCTTACGATTGTACAAGATTGAAACCTGTTGCATACCATTCGTCAATTGTTTGACAGACTAGTAACTCGAGTATTTTTTATAACGTCTAACGGTCATAATTAAAGATGAGGATAAAATCTGCTTCGCTTACTTAGTGGAGAAAAAATGGATTAATCCATAATTATGGAATGGATAAATCAACACATAAAATGAAGCCAGGAATGATGTGTATAATGCTACCTGGCATCGGGTATATTTGAACCTTCATAAGCAAAAGACAGTGTGGGAGATCTGTTCGAGTTAATTTTGATTGCGTTTCACATATGCAGGATTGTGTGCATAATACAAAAAATGGCTAACGTATCGTCGACTTGTTCCTGTCAAGTCCACCATTTTAATAAGAAAACAGTAGGACAGTTAATATGCATTAAAAAATTAATTTGGCAAATTAAATTAAACACTTCTTCACATTTAAATCTTCCTGAGTGAAGGTTTAATGTAAGTATAATGTATCTTCACTTTTAATAATTGAAAATATAAAATGCATATTTACTGTTGGATGAGCCAGCATTTTTGAGCGAGGTCTTGTTCTGTTCTCTTCTTCGTTTGGATGTGGATAACGTAGTGTAGGAAAATTATATTGATCGTAATGAGAACTTGTTGCATTGTAAGGTAATTCCGGATTTCCCTGCAAAAATATGGCATATGTCAAATTTTCATTAATACTTTTTTCGCAATAACTCTTGAGGATTTTTGAGCTTTTTTAGGATACAATTTCTGAAACAGTCTTTAAAAAGAAGTGGTAATTGACTAAAAGAGATTTCTGTGTTTGGTTTCTCTTAAGGTAGATCTACAACCATTTTAACTTACATTGAGGGATTAATAATTAGTATAATATATATGACAATGTGATAATAGTAAAAAGGGGGACGGTGGACACTTTGAAATAGATTAAGATAGATCTACAAACATATTAACTTACATTGAGAGATTAATAATTAGTATAACATGTATGACAATATGGCACTAGTAAAAAGGGGGACGGTGGACACTTTGAAATAGATTAAGATAAATCTATAAACGTATTAACTTACATTGAGAGATTAATAATTAGTGTAATATGTATGACAATATGACACTAGTAAAAAGGGGGACGGTGAACACTTTGAAATAGATTAAGATAGATCTATAAACATATTAACTTACATTGAGAGATTAATAATTAGTATAATATATATGGCAATATGGCACTAGTAAAAAGGGGGACGGTGGACACTTTGAAATAGATTAAGATAGATCTACAGACATATTAACTTACATTGAGAGATTAATAATTAATATAATATATATGACAATATGGCACTAGTAAAAAGGGGGACGGTGGACACTTTGAGATAGATTAAGATGGATCTACAAGCATATTAACTTACATTGAGAGATTAATAATTAGTATAATATGTATGACAATATGACACTAGTAAAAAGGGGGACGGTGGACACTTTGAAATAGATTAAGATAGATCTACAAACATATTAACTTACATTGAGAGATTAATAATCAGTATAATATATATGACAATATGGCATTAGTAAAAAGGGGGACGGTGGACACTCTGAAATAGATTAAGATAGATCTACAAACATATTAACTTACATTGAGGGATTAATAATTAGCGTAATATATATGACAATGTGACAATAGTAAATAGGAAGGAATAGTAAAAACAGTAATTTTATATTCATGTAAATATTGTAGTGACGTAACTTTTTTTTAAAATTTAAGAGCTCGTATATTTTAGAAATGTTTGTTAGCATAAAGTAAAATGAGAAAATTAGTATTATAACATATGAAGTTATGAAATCAACTGATGAAGTTGAACTCATATATGAACTTGCCTAGAGCCTGATATAATTGGAAAATTCTTCATTATTTAAACTTATTGGTTTTTAACCCTTTTTGTGACACCAAGGGGTCCTTCCGGAAGGAAAAAAATCATTGTTATATTTTAATAAAATGCTATGATATTAAATTTTATTTGAACGTTTATGATACAAAACTAGCTTGTTGATAAGTGTAGTTAATTCCCGCTACCATTTCAAATCTAAATTTTAATTCTAAACACATAAATTTAGTTCGTTTGAAATTTTATACATTTAGTGAGAACATCTGTCAATGCTTAAAAAATATGTCTGGAAAATAATTCGTCTTAAATTAAACACCACTGCTCTGTTTAAAAGAGTTAAGGTTACTTCTCTTGCCCGGTGATTTAACAGATAATTTAACAATATTATAATCATGGATCGATACATTTACTTCCAAGTAAAATTCAGGGTATATGCTTAAATTTGATCCTTTTTACAAAGTATATGCAAATTATGCTAAGGAAGCAATAAAAACCGTATTTTAAAGAGGGGAGCTTTTTGAGAGTAAAAATCTGTCCTAAATTCCTTACTTGAAACTATAATCTCTGATAATGCTCTAAACAACTGGAATTTATTTAGTTGGACAATCAGTCCTTCAAAACACTCACCGATGTGCTTTTGACAACATCTGATATGTGAGCCCATCTCATACGATCTTCCATAGATAGATTATAGACATTCGGACTGGCGTTCAGCATGTTGCTTAAATAGGTAAAAGTTTGAGTGCTGTTGTAAGATCTGGCGGAAAGAACTTCTGCCTTTTGCTGCTCTTTTTTCCATTTTCGGCTATAAAAGAACATATAATTTTAATAAAATCTTTAATTTATTTTTACTTATTAAAAATTATTATAATTTGTGATTACATAAATTAACACTTATAATCATAATTTGGGTTTTGCAATATGAATAATTTGAAATGCACGGCTTCTACAGTCATGTTGACAATGAAAGTAAAATTACGCTTTACTTACATTTTAACACGATTTTTATCATATTTACAAAATTTGAATCGAATGAATTAACTTTATGTAATTGAAGTTTCCTAAATTTTATGTAACCCTAAAAATCTTTTTAAATACATTTAACACACATTTAAAGAAAGTTTTGAAAACTCTATGTGTAAAATTAAAATACTTGAACAACTTTTGACCTAAAGGTTAAATTTTCAATGTACTAAGATGCTGTCTTAATGGATTTCAGAATAATTTTAAACGTGTGCAGACGGTATTTTAAGTTGCTAAATCAGGTACAAAACCATACTTTCTCTCTATAAATTTTTTTTTTCAGACCGGATTCTTAACTATAGTAGTCGCAATTTAGAAAATATTGTCTCAATTGTTTAATCATAACTGTGGTCGAAAGTTTGATTCCTTTAATGCTCATTTTACTATATACATATTTCATCTAATCTTTGGAACTATTTGAGCGAAAAAAAAGTTTTTTTACACTATTATAAAACTAGCTCAAGCAAAAATAATTTTATTACTAACAAGTACGAGTTTTAAGAAACCCCAAGATGTCTGGTTGCACTAGGCTGATCTAAAACTTTGTTACCTATCTACTTTCTCATCAACCATTTTTCTCTAAGAATGCTATCTAAGTCGTTTTCCACCAGAAGCTGCAAAGTGTCTCGAAACGCTTAGCATATACGCCACTTTTAGAACTATAGCTGAAGTCGTTCTAAAATTAAGTAGGCAGTCAGTTTATATTTTGAAGAGAAAAAAGCTAATTTTAGATTTTGGTCAGTTCTCTTCTAATTCGATAATGAGTAATGTTATTTAACTCATCGACATACTTTATTTAATTTTTTTGTATGAGGGTGTCCTAAACTAACGTTAAGAGGAAAGCGGTTGAAAAATACTTCTTGCAGTAAAATAATCAAGATGTTCGATTTTTGGTTAAAAAGAAGAAATCTTTCAATGAATGGTTGCTGTTGTTCTCGTAGGCCATTAAAGCAAGGAGCGATTGTTTTTGTTTTCCAGTGGCGCCATCTATGGCCAAGAATTAGAATTATGTCACATGCATACGTCACACTCGTTTATAGGATAATTCATACATCCATTCATTCATCCACAGATACTAATTCTGACCTGAACCAGGGAATGATCAATCTTCAATGCAGTACCCCCAGAAGTATAATTTGTTATGGGAGCATGGAGGACTTCGTGACCCGACAGATTTAGCGAGCACCAGACACAATTTACTATACGAGGAGTCTTCAACCGGCTGGATTCGAACGTGAATCCAGCGCCCTGCCAACCAGTCCATACCGGCCTTCAAAGAATGGTATTTTCTCACAATCACATGCCGTAATCGGAGAATAATAACATAACGGAAAAGCAAATTAGAACGCCATCTGACGAAAATTTCTGGAACCTTGAATTTGTTGCAAAAATAAAACTTTACTGTTATAAAAACCATTAGTGTAATTTAGGTCAACCTGAAAAAAAGGTAAATAAAGAAAACAGTTATTATACTTACTTCCAAATACAAAGACAAGCAAGAGTCAATAGAATTATAATAATCGCGGCTAAAGATGCCCCCAAAGCAACTCCGAGAACTAAAATTAAATAAAGAAAATTATTATATAAATTTATGCAGTCATATTGGTAAATAATTTTAGTGTTTTCAATCGCTTTTATGTCTTCAAAAAGTATATGTGAAGAAAGTTCTCCACTGATGCTGAGAATTCAGCATTTGATTGAAATCGTAAAAATAAAAATATTTCATAAGCATTATTCCCTAAAAATTTCATAACAAAATTTTTAACGTATTTGAAAATAGAGACCCCAACCAATACTTTCTCACTAGTATTCATTATAATTTTTTCTTTTCTACACTGTGCAATAACTCCTGGGGAGAACGCGTTATTGATTTGTCGAAATGCAACAGGTCCGTCACTTTTGTGAAAAATGGACTGTTTTTCATGTATGATGTTAATAATACACTTATATAAGTTGACCACTTTCCTTGCATTGCTTTTGTGGTTCAAGTACGACGAAAAAGATTCCCTTTCTCTCGCTGAACCGAGCCGAAACCTATCCCAAACAATTATCCCACACCCAAGCTTGAAATTGTTATACCTTGTAATCATAGAAATAAGACATAAATAAAATCTTAATAATTAAAATAAAAATGAAAATATAAATGTGTGTTTGTAGAACAGTACTTCATCAGGGGACACACTGCCTGCAAACACACAGGAGCCTTTCTGTTGTTAGTGGATTTAACCAAAACAAACAGTGCCCCTAGTTTTGGTTAAACTGTTAGTTTTGTAGTTGTTAGTTAGTAAACTGCTAGTTTAACTGTTAGTTTTGGTTAAATCCACTAACAACAGAAAGGCTCCTGGATGTTTGCAGGCAGTGTGTTCCTTGATGAAGTGCTGTTCCGCAAACACACATTTATATTTTCATTTATATTTTCATTTTTACTTTAATTATTAAGATTTTATTTATGTCTTATTTCTATTTTACATAAAACAAATTTGGTTCCAATTTGACTTAATGATTTAAAGTTTCAATATGTTTATTTACCTCTTATGTATCAATATTGACTAAGTTAATTGAATTGATTTTATGATTAGATTACCTTGTAACCGTAGTCCCCGCCACGGGTTCAGACGAATGACTAGGGGAGTTCTTACTTTAGACAAACTACACTGGTGTGCAAAACTTAAGCAACAAGTGCGTTTTTTGTCATAACTCTACAAGAATAATTTATATTTCGTTATTAA